AAGATACCATCGCAATATTATCTTTTTCACATAGAATAATTCCATTATGAGGTACATCAGATTACTGGATATAATTTATTAACGGTGTATGCGATAATGTTTGTCTGGTTGAGTCATTAATAATTTCAACGCCCATTCAGCTGGATTTCATTATCAAATGATATGCAAGGGTTGCTTTATTGTTACCATTATAACGTTTCATTTATAATTCTAACACCAGCTATATGATTTATTACGAGGTCCAACAGGGCATATTTATGTTAGATAAATTTATTATGAGAACATACGTGTATAATTTGAGGATAACTTTTATTATGATTTCAAATTTTGATACGAAATCAACGATGTATTTGATTCATTAACATTAAAAAATTATCCAAATCATAATATTTTTAAAATTAAAATAGCAACAGTTTTTGAATATTATTGCATGAAATTATAGAATTTGTAGCTAAATATTTTGAGAATTCAATTTGTTCAAAATATAAAATCTCTTAAATCGTTTGATAGATATCTTAAAATCAAATTCATATACTTCAAACAATTTTTAAAAGCTGGTTTTCTATCTAGAAACATTTTTATCGACTTCTACAGTCTTAGGTTGCCAATACAACTAGTAGGAGGAAAGACTATTTTGTAGAATCGCTGACCCGACTCCGGTTCTGCCAGAAACAATAAAATCCAAAGTAATCAAACTTTGTTTTTGAGTAACCCTAAAAGTTTGACAGCTTGCAATATTGTTACGTAAAAGAAAATTATGACGTGCAATACTTCGCGAGCAATTTTCTCAATAATATTTCTCCGTAAAACTTTTGTTCCACTTAAAAAACCTTTTCAAATATTTGGTTCACCTTTTTTTGAATTGAACGTAGCAAAAGATGTATATTACAATTATATGTCCTAATAAACATTAAATATTTTTTATAACTGTTACGAGATAAACTAAAACATATATGTATCTCTCAAAATAAAACGAAAAAATTAAACATTTTCCAAATACAAATCGACTTCACTATATAATTTCAATCGGAATTTTATCGTTTCGCAGACATTTTTATAATTTAATATTTCCGCATAATACGATACGCTCCGAGAATCATCTGGGTGAATATATTTCGATGGTATTACAGATATGATGAACTGGATTATTACTTCATACATCTTTGTTTTAATTTGCAATAATTATAAAACCAATGTTTATAGGTATGTTACATCACAATATGCATGATGCGTTTATAAATATTTTGATTGCGTCAATTTATTGCTGCAGTCGTCGTTGTAAAATCAATTAATCGTTTCATATCCTTTTATAGTTATGATCAATTTCTTTTATAATGTAAATAAAAACGATACTGATATATATATGTTATATTATAGAAAACTCCATTCTTACGTCATTTCCTTAAAAAAATGTATGTAAGACTAATAAATTGTGTCAAAATATTTGCATTCAAGGCCCAGAGCTAGTGTTTAATTGCTAAGCAATCAAAAAATTACCCAACAAAAGCATTGCATGGAAGGTAAGTCCATGTAAGCGGCAGATTAAAATTGCCCCTATTGTCGTTACAAAACATTCTCATGGCCAGGCATTGTCATGAGAGGCCACTAGTCTATTAACATGCCATGTCTCTAAAACCAATTACCAAATAAATTTTATAAAGCAAAATTGAATTATAAGGGAGATAAAATCTTTTATTTACCTAAACCGAATGCTTTATAATAAAGAAAATTTAAACATAACCATTAGAAGGACAAAGGATCTTTTAGTATCTCGACGTCCGTAACGAATGGACCGAGATGATGGTGGTCACAAAGAACGCAATTAGTTTGGGCCTTTACGCTTTCAAGGTTCTTGGTATCTAAGTGTAGTATCAGGTTGTTTAAAGGTTTATTTGACACATTCAGCTTACGTAATAATGTCGTGGTCAAAGGACGTCTCGGAGTGTTTATTGATCACAGTTATCGAGCAATAAAACATGAAATAACGTTCCTAGTTGTGCTGTTTTATGACCACTCTGATGTTAATATGAATCGTCGTGACGCCGTTATTACTTTAAAGGTCAGTCTGTTATAAAATCCATTGATAACACGCATAACAATCGACATTAATTTTTAATTAAGGTTTAAAATGATACTATTAGAATAAAAGGCCTATTATTATTTTATAACATATGTAGTTTTTCAATAATAATTAATTTGGATTAAATAATAAATTTAACATCTTCACACGATAAATTCCTGAATAGATTTTACTTGCATAATCTTTACATAAACGCTAAGCTTTCCAATTATAAAATAAACAAAAAATCTATATCCCTTAGGACACTATAAATATATCTCCATTAAAATAAATACATCTACAGCCTACAACCAAAAGAAAAACAAGTACAATATTAGGCGATTGAAATTGCTCAAATAATTTAGAACTTATTTAAAGCGTGACAAATGATCTTATAATGGGCACCCAAGAGTATAATTATTTAAATAATTACATAGTATATAGGCACAATTATTTTTTGTATAAAATAAATAAAAATTAGAGTGTAAACTTTTAAATACCCGACTTGACAGGTTAACCAAGTTTTATGTAGTTATACGTTAACAGTTTGAATGTTCGACAACAAAAAAACAACAAAAGCCAAAAATAGTTATAAAGTAATAGATGACTTATTTTTTTTTTTATATATTATCACGAAATTTCTTAAAACAACAATAAATGTGAAAAAAATTTGAAAGTGAACAAGTTGCCTTATAATTCGTTATCAAATTAAATCACTATATTTATCTTATCTTTAATTTAAAAGACATTTCTTATATATTATTATATATGAATTATCCCGATTTCTAACCATTAAAGTTCCATACAACGACATTCAGAGCATAAACGTCATTACCAGCGAAACACCTATCTGTCCGTTTCAATGAGCACAACCACAGTAATTGGAGCGTAATGAATTCTATCGGTTTAAGTAACCGATCGAGCTATTATTTCAGAGAACTAGTAAGTACCTAAGGAATTACGAGGGCGCAATCCGGTGCCAATGAGATATTATATTGATTAAAGCTCATATTAGGATTATGTGAATTAAACCGTAATAAGCAAGAAATAAAGCTGGATTTGTAATGTATAAGGTTTGCAAATTTTCCTTTCGCGTTTCGTTAATATGGACGTATACGGAAAGCGTAAGAATATTTTAAGTAATAAAAAGAAATGAATTATGCTCAGTGGTTTGTTTACAGATCATTTGAACGGCATAAAATTAAAGCGATTTAATAATAATTCATCACATGTAGTTTTTTTATGAAATAAATCTATCGAATATGGATTTCCGGATTTCCATATACTTTTCACGATTAACAACTATAATTAACAACTCATAAATATTATATTACTTCATATTTATTTTTATATGTATTATAACAGTTTAAAATAACCTCAGGGCAAACAGTCTGACCGTGAGTTTCTCATTCAAATTGATTGATAATGTTTATACTTATTTTAAAAATTAAACTTCTGATATTTATATAAGTCTTTTTATGAAAATGTATTACCAAAGCAAATGATCTCTCTCTCTCTCTCTCTCTTCCTTACTGCGTATCCCACATGGTGATGGGGTCAGTCTTCTGAGTCTTTTGCCTCCACTTCGCTCTGTCTCTGACGTCGTCTTCGGAAACATTGCATTGTCTCATGTCCGCCAGCAACACCTTTGTCCAGGTGGTTTTGGGTCTTCCTCTAGATCTTTTCCCGGAGACAGACAAATTCAGCACTTTATTGCCGACGTAATCAGGTGGTCTTCTCTTTACATGTCCATACCACCTCATCCTGCTTTCTTGAAGTTTATCGGCGATGTCACGGACTCCCAGGCTACCTCGCACGTATTCGTTGCGGATCTTGTCCAGCCGTGTAACACCGCACATCCATCTGAGCATCTTCATTTCAGCTACTTGGATGGTATGGACATGCCCCTGTGTTAGAGCCCACGTTTCACTGCCGTACAGGAGTACAGGCCTTATCATTGTCTTGTAAACAAGGCCTTTAAGACGAACTGGCATCTTCTTGTCGCAAGTTACACCTGTAAGTTCTCGCCATTTTAGCCACGCAGCTGCGATGCGGTTCTGAATGTTGTGCTCTAGGTCTCCTGAGCTGTCCATCATGTTACCCAGGTATTTATATCGATCACACTTTGTAATTGATTGGCCATCAATGGTGATAGGTTGGTCATCAGATTGTGGATCATTCAATACCATGAATTGGGTTTTAGTAACATTCAACACCAAACCACCGGACTGCAGCTGATGTTTCCAAGCAGTGAGCGCTTCTTGTAGAAGAATCCGACTCTCGGCACAGATAGCAACGTCATCGGCATAGATAAATGTCCATGTTGCTTTAGCTTGAGCCTCTTCTGTAAGCGCATCCAACACTAAAGAGAATAAAAACGGGCTTAGGACTGATCCTTGATGTACGCCCTCCGTGACGTAGATAGACTTTGTGTTTCCGACAACAGTACGTACTAGCGCTTTTACATCTTTGTACATGTCGGCTATGATGTTGATGTACCTTTCGGGAACATTTTTCTTCCGCAGACTCCACCAGATGGTTTCCCTGGGAACTCGATCAAAAGCCTTTTCCATGTCTAAGAACGCAACATACAGCGGTCGTTTATTGTCTCGGTGTTTTTCAGAAATCATACTGAGAGCGAACATAGGATCGGTGGTGGACATGCCTGGTACAAAGCCGTAGTGATTTTTTGAAAGCGAGCACTCAGATCTTAATCGGCTTTCTATGACTCTTTCGTATAGTTTTAACGTATGACACATAAGCTTTATACCGCGATAATTACTGCACTCGTATTTACTACCTTTCCCTTTATATATTGGGACTATGGTGCTCAGTCGCCAGGCCTGAGGTATTTTGGATGATACCATTATGTCATTGAAGAGGTTAGTAAGAATGAGTATGCCCCTATCGCCTAGGCATTTCCAAACCTCGATCGGAATACCATCTGGACCAACAGCTTTCTTGTTGGACATTTTTGAAAGCGCCTTTTTGACCTCATTGGAGTGTATAGGGAGAAATAGACCAGCGTTTGGTTTTAAACAGGGTAGCTGTAGGTTAATTCTACTACTGTTAAGTAGGTTTTTGTAGTAGTCATGCCACGTTGCAATAATATCCTTATCCCTATATTGGAGTTCCCCTGAAGCGTTATTAATGGTCCTACATCGATTCGAGTCGTTTGAATTAAGATACCGTCTTTTTGCGAGCTTGTATATTTGTTTTTGCCCTTCTCTTCTTTCCAGCGTTTGGTAGAGTTGGCACTGCGAATGAGCCTTTTCGATTGCAATAATTCTCTTGGTTTCTTTCTTTACTTTATTATATTCCTCTCTATCTTGTATGGTTTGAGTGGACTGCCAGGTCTTAAAGGCACATTTCTTTTTACGTATAGCTTCTTGCACTTCTTTCGTCCACCACCACGTTTCCTTGCTGAACTTTTTATTCCCTTTTGTTCGACCAAGAGTATTATTTGCAACCTTGAGGATGGATTTTTGTAAATGCTCCCAGATAGAATCTACGTCCTCATGTTCGTCATATTGAAGATTTGTCAGCTGATGACAGAACTCTTTGGCTTTTTCACCCTTTAAATTCCACCATTTAGTTAATTCCGGTGCTTGGACGGATATCTCTTTGGGCTTTTTCTGGTAAGTCATATCCATTACTACTATCCGATGTTGGGCTATGGCACATTCACCCGGTATAACCTTGCAATTTTTGATGCGGCCAATATGCACTCGGTTCAAAAGGATATAATCAATTTGTGATGCTGTGTTCCCGCTTTTATAGGTGATCAAATGTTCATTGTTTTTTGTAAAGAATGAATTAACAATGGCAAGGTCATAAGCAGCCGCCGTGGTGAGTATTGTTTTTCCCGATGCATTTAATGTACCGTATGCATATCCACCGTGAATCCTGCTATATGCCTCGTTTCTAGCTCCTATGTGGCCATTTAGATCACCACCAACTATTGTCATTTCGTTTGGTGGAATTTGCCGTAATATATGCTCTAAAGCTTCCCAAAAGTCCTCTTTATCTTTAGGACAACAATTAGCTTGTGGAGCATAAACCGAGACGATATTCACAGTTTCACACTCAATAAGAATTTTAAGAGTCATTAGTCTGTCGCTAATGCGGCTCACCTCTATGATGTGATCGAGGTGATCCTGACTGACAACAATTCCTACACCATTTCGTCCACCCTTAGCCCCGTTGTACAATAACTTGTATCCTTCACCGATATCCCGTGCTTTGGCTCCTGTCCATCTTGTCTCCTGTAGGCAGGCGAAATCCACTTTTCTACGCTTAAAAAGACATGCAAGTTCCTTCGTCTTCCCAGTTAGTGATCCTACATTTAATGTGGCGAAGCGGACCTTTAGGTTACATTTTGGAACTAACTTCTTCAGCCGAGCCCGTCCTTGACTCGGTAGCCCTAACAGACTATTCGCAGAGGTAGGGCGATATGTCTGCGCGTCGTTTTGCGGCGACGCCCTATTCATTCTCGTTTTAACTGATTGTAACCTGTCCATATATATCTAAAATCTGGCTTTGGGGTTTATGATTACTGTACCGATTGCCATCTGACGTACAAAAACCTGCCTTTATTAAGAACAGGGAAACCCTAGACGTAGATTGTCCGTCATGATAATAAGGAACTTTGTTCCGAAATCCTTTTAGTCGCCTCTTACGACACCCATAGGAAGGAAATGGGGTGGCGCTATTCTAACCCGACGCCACACGGGAAAGCAAATGATGACTATCAAAAAATATATTATCAAAATGCAAAATATAAATGGTATCAAGAGCAATAACAGTGGTTATAGTGTAAAAACCTTTAAAAGAACTCTACACTAATATGTCCTAACCTTACAATAATAGACACACATATATAAAGTGTATTGAATGATTCTGAGAGAAGTTAAGGAAAGCATCTAGTCTTGCAATGCAGTGGAACTGGGGAAGGTGATATTAAACTAGCCTATATATAACAAGGAATGCTCGGTGGAGGCCAAGTTAATGATTCTGATACATCAGTATGGTATTTTGCCGCATTCTGAATTGCTTATATTATAAGTATTTATATGAGACCGGGATGCTATAAAGGATTTGTTGAATGAATGTTTTGTTATTTTTAACTTATTATTAACTTGAAGGTTGTTCTATAACAGTCATCAATAATAAATCTTTTTAACGTCTTAAGAAGCAATATAATATAATGGAAAAAAACTGATCATTAAACAGAGATTACAGAGATAACGCCTTATTTTACTCTTTTCTTTGATATAAATATATTTATGTAGACTTGTAAATGTTTACTCATAGACATTCACCTTCGTGTTGCTTCAACCGAGCCGAAACTTCCGTTATTTTATTTAACGTCCGCTTCCGAATGTAAAACCTTTATGAATATTGATATACAATGTTAATATAATTGACATGTCGCATGTGTATCAAAAATTAAAACAAGTAAGCAGTTTTTATTCAATATTTTCAACCAGAACTTGTAATAAAGCATTTTCAGATAATGTATTTCGTATTTTTAACGGTGTTGTATTAACATGTGCTATTGATGCTATTGAACTAATTAATGACAATTTACATATGCATATTATCTAACCGTTTCACATTATGTCATTTCAAACATCACCAAAAACTATATGGTAATACAAAAGGTTTATACAACAGATAATTACAAACAATTCGGCACAACTCCATTCAATTTCAATGCATTATCATGTGATTACGGGTTTCGTCATCTATTAAGCTTGGTAGCGCAAACCTAATTCTATTACTCAACGATCGTGGTAAGGTCTCAACTTTGCACGTCGTAGTTCGCAACCTTGCCCCCTCCACTTCACACTTTCACTCAGAATTACTCAACCTGATTCGACTGCGACAATAAGAAAGTATATTGACGCTATCTCCATAAAACAAATAACTAGTTACTCATCACAAAAAAGCGAAGAAAATTTATACTAACAGTACGTTAAATGAGAGAAAATTTGAGAATTTATGTGCTAATGTTGGTTTGTTTTTCATCAAAAAATACAATGCAAGTGTTGTTTAATGTTCCCAGTGTTTTAGGGCTAATATTTCATACATACCATTATATACTAGAGATTGAGGAACATCCTTTGATAAATACATAACATTAGATAACAGGAGAGATGAAGCAAGTAAAAGAGAAAGAAGACACTGACTACTTGTCTTTAAACTAATTATAAAGCACGATTATGTTATAAACTCATAGAAACACTTTTTTACTCTCAAAATAAAGCGTGCATTTAAATTTAATAAACATTCTAGTAAAAAAGAGTTCGAATTACAAACTTATACATAGAGTAATACAATATTCTATTATGTATTAAAAAAATCATAATACCACGAACTATTGAAATTCGCGCTGTATTTAAATGACAGCATCATTATGCAAATGGAAGATCAGAACACGGATATATTTTATGATCGTTACCAGTATGTATGCAGATTAATTTTTTTTATATATAATAATAACACAACCCGTTAAGGGCGAAAACCATCTCATTAAGAGAAATAAGGCTTGGGACAGAGGGTTTATAGTACCTATTGACTTCTCAAAAATAAATTATTGTTATCATATTATATCATTTGGGAATAAATGCATTTTATTATCCAAAGTAAACTGAAAAATCATTGTACATTGATATTAATTAATTCTCAAAATCACTACTTCAAAATCATTAACAATGTTAAGTTTTAAAAATGTAAAAATATAAGTTGGAGGACTTTGTTCACGTTTACAAATACTGTTTTCATGTTGGGTTCTACATATAATGCTTCAGCATTGTGCTAGTGTGCGTTTGTCGGCATATGTGTGTATAGTCCTGGGGCCATATTGTATTATTCACTGGTAGACTCAGAAGAATTCGTTCTAAATGTCACTTGATCACCTTCCAAAGTCGAATCATTAACCAGTACCCAATAGACACGTTTTGATTCACATTATTTTTATTTTAAAATACCTCGTTTATCATTGAAACCAGTTTTACGATGTTATTTTTTGACAAAACAAAATCATCGTAAACATTGAATATTTTAAATATAACAAACTTAGATAAATTTTTAACTAGTCTTGCTTTAAGTATATTTAAAAATTACTTTAATATACAATTTGCTTATAATTTTTTTAATAACTTATTTGAGGATTTCAAGGGCCTAACTCTAATCAATATAATTGGATCTGACAAGCAAAACCACGAAAAGCCATCTAGTTGAAAGTACATTGAATATACTTTTATAACTGAAATCACGATATGCTTTAAATAACTAGTTATTAAAAAATATTATGCACTTTAGTTACAAGGATTACGATCTATTTCAATCTTGTCTTAAACAAGAGTTCGTTATACGACATTAGCATTTGTCGAATAGGAAATGGCTGCGGGGCCGATGACGTCACACATTACAACCACTACTATTAGAATGACCGCAAATTATGCAAATTGAACTGGATAGAGCTGGACGTTCATCAAATTAACATGGGACTTGTCTTAATTAGGAAGAGCGTTGTCGAATTTGAATACTAAATAATTCTTTAATTCTGAATATAAAATTCCTATGCATTTCCTAGCGGTGGCTCTTGAAAAGTATTTTCAACTTTTATACACCTTTTAACGTTTATTTACGTAAAATAATCTAGTGTTAAAATATTAAATTGAAATGAGCAAAATATTTATGAATAACTTATTTTATCTGAATATTACGTATACAATTATTATTGTCTTCAAAATTATTCCTGTTTTGTTTGAGAAAACCATATTAAAACAAGAAGTTTTGAGGTTTTCAACAACCCTAACATAACAAATAATATGGAAACGGAATACAAAACAGTTTGCAGAGTCTTTGTGAAACTGCTGACATGTGGAGGCATCCTTTGTTCTAAGTGAAACGTATCTCAGGAAGCGAGTAAGGCTGAGATAAGGTTTAATCATTTGTTCAGTGTTATTACGTGTTAGGCTGTATTGTCTTCAAATCCGCATATCAAAATCAACAAGGATATTTCTGAAAAATATTTCTTTATTAGAAATACAAAGGCAAATGCTAACAGATACATGTTTACATCACGTATACATAAAAACTATTAGTAAGAAAGAAAAAACTTTTCGTTTCAACTTTTCCTTTAAAATGGTATATTAAAAGTTTGAAGAGCTTTTAAAACTAAAACTGCATAGTTTGTAAAGTTCAGTTCATTAGCCCCGAGAGCACCTAGATAAATGTTATTGCTTCTTTAGCTTTGGAAGATCTCCAGGTTTAATTGTGTACTATCGTTAGAAAACGTTCCCAAAGTGTAATAAAAGTAATAACTTAAGCTCAGTAAGTTTCAGTATATGATATTACCGGAGCAATGATATACTTTGAAGGAAATACGTAAGTGGTAAAATTTAGGTCCAGTAAAATAAAAACATTGCTCTAAAATTAATGTTAACGTTATATATTCCAGTGTATAGAGTATAAGCCAGTGCTCGACCTGGCTATTTCGCAAAACATTACAGATTATTAATGACAACTAGTTCACCTCCTTGAGCCAAGATCACGCAGCCAACCAGTGTTATTTATATTTCATAAACTTACATATGTACAACATTTGTGTAGACAGACGTAAAGAAAATGTTCACAGTGATCT